ATTTTGATTTCAGTAAATAAGAGTGCAATAGCCTTTTCTAAACATGTTATATTGATTACAGAAATGAGGGAAAAAACAAAGACAATTGTACGTTTAACACATACTTCATTTATTAACATTTGTCTTTGTTTTTATTCTCAATTCTCTAATCATGGAGTTTTACCAAGTACCGATGATTTCAAGTGTTAATTATATATGTTATATTGAATTGAAGTAATATTTCGTGGGAACATTTATACAGCACTGTTAACATTTCCATGGAGACTAATAAAAGAAAGGCAGCTGGTCAATAGAACCCAAGTACATCTATTGTGTTACTTTTATTTTTATAATTCGAAATAGCATAGTTTTTCAAGAAAATGTTTTGAAATATCAAAGCTGGTTTCCCATAATTCAAAAAGCCGGATTATTTTCTAAATAAGAAATTCAGATATCATAGCTAGCTAGTTTCACACTATTCAAATACTTGACGTAGTTTCGAATTTGAACAAATGCTCTGGCTGTTGTATATTTCACTTTATACAAACACCTGACGTAATTTCGAAATTGAAGAAGTGCTCATACTATAGCTAACTTCATATTATCCTGATGATCGTTGAGCAAGAGATGCAAATATCATATCTGAATTCACATTAAACCAAAACTTGACTTGTTCTCGAACAAACGAAGTATACATAGATACCACAGTTGTTTTCGTTTTATCCGAAAACTTAGGTTACAAATAACGAAAATCAAATGCTCTGACTACTTTGAAATTTTCAAACCCCCACCCTGATGAATATATCCATTAACAACATGGTGATTATACAGAAGCTATTTGTTTACGTAGGATACACGATATTATTGACGGCAAGGAAGAGAAGATTGACTATAGATTTATACTAAACACAAGATATTATTGACGGCAAGGAAGAGAAGATTGACTATAGGTTTATACTAAACACAAGATATTATTGACGGCAAGGAAGAGAAGATTGACTATAGGTTTATACTAAACACAAAATATTATTGATGACAAGTAAGAGAAGATTGACTATAGGTTTATACTAAACACAATATATTATTGACGGCAAGGAAGAGAAGATTGGCTATAGGTTTATACTAAACACAAGATATTATTGACGGCAAGGAAGAGAAGATTGACTATAGGTTTATACTAAACACAAGATATTATTGATGACAAGTAAGAGAAGATTGACTATAGGTTTTTACTAAACACAAGATATTATTGATGACAAGTAAGAGAAGATTGACTATAGGTTTATACTAAACACAATATATTATTGATGAC